ATATCTCTCTTGAATTGTGGTGCCCAGAATTGGACACAATATTCAAGGTGTGGTTTAACCAAAGCGGAATAGAGCATGGGGACAGGGGCGGCTCATCCATTACGCGAAGTAAGCGGTTGCAGAACACTTTTTTTGCCAAGGGCGCAGAGGCGCCTCTGTAAATGCCCTCGACCGCCACTTGAGGAGCGCCCCCTCAGCTCACAACAGCCCTAGCAGTCCGGGGGGAGCCTCGGCTTTCTTGCCTCGCTGCCGGGCGATCCTCTTCCCAAAGGGGCCGGGCCCTTGAGCCTCGCCTAGCCCCTCTCGTTCCTGCTCCACCTGGCCACCGGGTGTGCGAGCAGAGCCGGCGCTCAATCGTTCTCCGCGTTCGATCCCTTCCCCATGACCGGCTCCACCCGACTCCTCTCCTCTCCCCAATCCGCGGGTGGGCCAAGGGGCGGAGCCGCCACGCCTGGCCCGCTTTGGGTCCGGAGGCGTGTCTGAAGACCCCAGCGTGCACACCAAAAGTCGCCTCTTCTCCTGACTTTCTCTTCAGCCATTGGGACCAAGAGAGAGAGAGAGAGAGAGAGCCCCTCCGGCTGGAGGTATCTCCCACCTCCGCTCCCTCCTTTGTTTTTGCGCCTACCTTCAGGAAAGGTGGGCATCTCCACCTCTCTCTCTCTCTCTCTCTGGTCCCAATGGCTGAGGAGAAAGTCAGGAGAAGAGGTGACTTTTGGTGCACACGCCGGGGTCTTCAGGCACGCCTCCGGACCCAAAGCGGGCCAGGCAAGGGAGCAAGTGCGGCAAGTGTAGTTACTGGGATGTATAGTTCACCTACAATCAAAGAGCATTCTGAACTCCACCAATGATGGAATTGAACCAAATATGGCACACAGAACTCCCACAACGAACAGAAAATATATATCAATGATTGGTGGGGGGGGGGGGCCAAAATACTGTTTGCTTACCGTTGAAAATTACCTAGGGCCGCCTCTGCGGGGAGCATGACTTCCCTAGATCTAGACACTAGGCTCCTCTTGATGCAGGCCAAAATCCCATTGGCTCTTTTGCCACCACATCACATTGTTGGCTCATTTTTAACTTGTTTAAAACTCTGGCATAGACACCGAGAACTGGGAAGCCCTGGCCCTTGAGCGCTCCAGTTGGAGGTCAGCTGTGACCAGCAGTGCTGCAGAATTTGAAGAGGCACGAATGGAGGGCGAAAGAGAGAAATGTGCCAAGAGGACAAATCTCGTTGTCTAAGATTTTCTAATGTTACACCATTAAGCTGTATCCCAGGCATTGAAACCTCTGCAGGACCTTGACCAGTTAACTCAGGAGCCTGAGGGCAAGAAACAATGGCAAGTTGGACCTCTCCACTCACACCATCAGATGGACACTCATCAAGTGGACACTCATTAGGAAGACAACCACTTGATTGGATGTGATGGAACCTCCCTAATTGTGACTTGGCTCCATTTTGGAAGCAGAATCATGTGTACTCTGGTGATTTTGACATGGGAAATCAAGACATTGAAGCAGGTTGCTGGGAGGGGTCTCTCCTTATCCATAATTGGGAGAGGGAACCAAAAAGGGAGGGAGGGAGAAAGGGAGAAGGGGGCGTGGCGGGGGCGTGGCCTCGGGCTCCCAGTGGATGGAGTCAAAGAGGGAAAGGAAGGAGGGAAGGAAAGAAAGAAAGAAAGAGAGAAAGGGAAAGGGCGCGCCTGTAGGATCCCCAGGAGGAGCCCGAATGGGGAGTGAATGGGGGGCGGAGGGGGCTTTGGAAGACCCTCCCCGCCCTCCTGTCTTGATCCAGGGAAGAGAGTGAAGGAGGAAGAAGGGAAGAAGAGGAAGAAGTAAAGTCGGGCCGGAGGGAGGGCCAGGCCTGTGTGGCTCCCTCCCTCTGTCTCCCAAACATCCTTCCTTCCCTTCTTCATAAGCCTTTCCTTTCTCCCCTTCCCTTCTTCCAGTCTTCCTCTCCTCCATCGCTCCTTCTGCCTCCTTCCACCCATTTCCCTTCTTTCTCTCCTCCTTCCTTTCCCTTCCTTCCTTCGGCTTTCCCTTCCTCTTTCACTCCTTCTCCTTCCTCCCTCTCTTGCTTCTCCTCCTTTTCTCCATTGCTTCTTCCTAAATCCCCTCTTTCTCTCCTCCTTCCTTTCCCTTCCTTCCTTCCTTTCCCTTCCTCTTTCACTCCTTCTCCTTCCTCCTCTCTTCCATTGCTTCTCCTCCTTTTCTCCATTGCTTCTTCCTAACTCCCCTCTTTCTCTCCTCCTTCCTTTCTCTTCCTTCCTTCCTTTTCCCTTCCTCTTTCACTCCTTCTCCTTCCTCCCTCTCTTTCCTTTCTCCTCTTTTCTCCATTGCTTCTTCCTAACTCCCCTCTTTCTCTCCTCCTTCCTTTCTCTTCCTTCCTTCCTTCGGCTTTCCCTTCTTCTTCCACTCCTTCTCCTTCCTCCCTCTCTTCCATTGCTTCTCCTCCTTCTCTCCATTGCTTCTTCCTTCCCTCCCTTCTCCCCTCTTTCTCTCCTCCTTCCTTCCCTCCTTCATCCTCTCCTCCTTTGAGAGGAGGCAAGAAATAGAAAATATTGTTATTCCCTCCTCTCTTTCTCTCCTCCTTCTCCTTTCCCCTTCATCCTCTCTCTCCTCCTTCCCTCCCATCTTCCCTACCACACCTCCTTCCCCTTCCTTCACTCTTCCATCCTCTCCTCCTTTCTCCCCTCTTCCTTCTCTCCATCGGGCAAGAAATAATAAAAAAATATTATTATTCCCTCCCATCTCTCCTCTTTCTCTCCTCCGTCGCAACTCCTCCTCCCTTTCCCTTCCCATCCTCATTCTCTCCTCTCTTCCATCACCTCTCTTCCTTCTCTCCTTCGCTTCTTCTTCCTCTTTCCCTCCCATCTCCCCTTTCTCTCCTCCTCCTCCCTCCTCCTTTTCATTCCTCCTCCCTGCGCCCCTCCCTCTTTCCTCCCATCTCCCTTCTTCCTCTCCTCCATCGCACCTTTCCCTTCCCTTCCTTCCTTCCGCTTTCCCTTCTTCCCTCCCCCTCCATTCTCAATAACAATAATTATTGTGATCCCCTCCCATCTCCCCTCTTCCTTTCTCTCCCTCCTCCTTTCCTTCATCCTCTCTTCCCTCCTTCGCTTCTTCTGCCTCCTTCCCTCCCATCTCCCCTTTCACACCTCCTTCCTTCACTCCTTCATCCTCTCCTTCTTTCCCCCTTCTCCCGTCTTTCTCTCTTCCTCCTTTCATTCCTCCCACCCTCCCTTTCTCTCCTCCTTGCTTAATTCCTCGTTCTCTTCTTCCCTCCTCCTTCATCCTCTCCTTCTGTTTCTTTCTCTCCTTTCCCTCTCCTTCCCTTCCTTCATTCGGCTTTCATCCTCTCCTCCATCGCTCCTTCTGCTTCCTTCCCTCCCGTCTCCTCCTCCTCTCTATCCCTTCCTTTCCCTCCTCCTTGCTTCATTCCTCCTTCCCTTCTTCCGCCTTCCTCTCCATCCATCCCTCTTCCCTTCCTTTCTCTCCTCCTTGCTTCGTTAAGCCTTCCCTTCTTCTGTTTCTGTCTCCTCCTTCTCTCCATCCATCCTTCCCTTTCGGTTCTCCTTGCTTCATTCCTCCTTCCCTTCTTCCGCCTTTCTCTCCTCCTCTCCACCCCTCCCTCTGTCTCCTCCTTGCTTGGTTAAGCCTTCCCTTCTTCCGTCTTTCTCCCTCCTCTTCTCCATCCCTCCTTCCCTTTTATCTCCTCCTTTCTTCTGCCTTTCTCTCCTCCTCCTCTTCATCCCTTCCTCTCTCTCCTCCTTGCTTCCTTAAGCCTTCCCTCCTTCCGTCTTTCTCCCTTCCTCCTCCTCTTCTCCATCCCTCCCTCCTGCCCCTTTCTCTCCTCCTTGCTTCATTCAACGTTCCCTTCTTCTGCCTTTCTCTCTTCCTACCCCCATCCCTTCCTCTCTCTCTTCCTTGCTTCCTTAAGCCTTCCTTCCTTCTTTCTCCCCTCCTCCTCCTCCTCCTCTTCTCCATCCCTCCCTCCCGCCCCTTTCTCTCCTCCTTGCTCTATTCCACGTTCCCTTCTTCTGCCTTTCTCTTCTCCTCCTCTCCATCCCTTCCTTTCTCTCTTCTTTGCTTCGTTAATCCTTCCCTCCTTCCTTCTTTCTCCCTAGCTCCTCCTCTTCTCCATCCCTCCCTCCTGCCCTTTTCTCTCCTCCTTGCTTCATTCCACGTTCCCTTCTTCTGCCTTTCTCTCTTCCTACCCCCATCCCTTCCTCTCTCTCTTCCTTGCTTCCTTAAGCCTTCCTTCCTCTTTCTCTCCTCCTCCTCCTCTTCTCCATCCCTCCCTCCCGCCCCTTTCTCTCCTCCTTGCTCTATTCCACGTTCCCTTCTTCTGCCTTTCTCTTCTCCTCCTCTCCATCCCTTCCTTTCTCTCTTCTTTGCTTCGTTAATCCTTCCCTCCTTCCTTCTTTCTCCCTAGCTCCTCCTCTTCTCCATCCCTCCCTCCTGCCCTTTTCTCTCCTCCTTGCTTCATTCCACGTTCCCTTCTTCTGCCTTTCCTCCTCCTTTCCATCCCTTCTCTCTCTCCTCCTTGCTTCGTCAATCCTTCCCTCTTTCTCCCCTCCTCCTCCTCCTCCTCTTCTCCATCCCTCCCTCTTGCCCTTTTCTCTCCTCCTTGCTTCATTCCACGTTCCCTTCTTCTGCCTTTCTCTCCTCCTTGCTTCGTTAATCCTTCCCTCTTTCTCCCCTCCTCCTCCTCTTCGCCATCCCTCCCACCTGCCCCTTTCTCTCCTCCTTGCTCCATTCCTCCTTCCCTCCTTCCGTCTTTCTCTCCTCCTCCTTCCCCTCCCTCTTCCCTCCCTTTCCCTTCCTCTTGCTTCCCTTCTTCTGTCGTTCTCTCCATCCCTCCCTCCCTTTCTCTCCTCCTTGCTCCATCCCTGCTTCCCTTCTTCCGTCTTCCTCTCCTCCTCCTCCTCTCCCTCCCTTTCTCTTCCCTTTGCTTGGTTCCGCCTTCCCTCCTCCTCCCGGGGACCCCTCCCTCCTCCCTCTCCCCCTCCCCACCCTGGCTCTCCTCCTCCTGCTCGCCCTCCTCTCCCCCCTCCTCCCTTCCTCCTCCTCCTCCTCCTCCTCCCTCCCTCCAACATGGCCGCGAAGTCGGACGGAGGCGCGGCTGTGGCGGTGTCGGTGGGGGCGGCGGCGACCCCTTCTCCGTCCTCCTCCTCGGTCTCTTCGGCGGCGGCGGGGCCACGCAGGGAGGGGTCCTGCTCGGGCCTCTCCCGCTCGGGCCGCCCGCCTTCCTCGGGGCCCTTTCCTCCGCTCCCTCCTTCCTTGGCAGGGGGAGGCGGGGGCACGGCTTCCCCTCCGGCGCTGCTCCTGCTCCGGGGCCACCACGCTTCTTCGTCTTCGTCCGCGGCGCTGCCTGCCTTGCCTGGGGCGGCTCCGGCTCCTCCTGCTCCCCCGGTGGCGTCTCTGTCGGGGCGCGGGTCCCGCTTCGGGGCCGGGGAGTGTGCTTGGGCGCTGGGGGCGCTGCTGGTCTTCTTCTCGGACGGGGCCAGCGACCTGTGGCTCAGCGCCCACTACTACCTCCGCGGGCAGCTCTGGTGGTTCGGCCTCACCCTCCTCTTCGTCCTCCTCCCCTCCGTCGTCGTCCAGGCCCTCAGCTTCCGATGGTTCGTCTACGACTTCACCGCCTCCACCTCCACCGCCGCCGCCGCCACCCCCGGGACCTCCTTCTCCGCCAAGGAAGGAGCAGGCGCGCCCAAGAGAGGAGCAGGAGGATCAGGAGGGAAAGCCGCCTTCAGCACCAAGGACAGCGCCGGAGGAGGAGGAGGAGGAGGATGCAGCCAAGGCGCCTCGCCCGCCCCGCTCACGCCCCCTGCCGGGCCCCGCGGGTGCTGCAGGTGCTGCCTCTGGCTCCTCCAGACCCTCATCCACCTCCTCCAACTGGGACAGGTCTGGAGGTAAGGAGGCCAAAGGGGGAGGGGTATGCAAGGAATCGCTGAAGGACAGGCCTGGGTCAACTTTGGCCTTTGCTCTAGGGGATTTGGGCTTCAACTTCAAGTAGAACCCCAAATAGAGAGCCAAACAGAGTCCCAAATACACCACTAAATAGACCACCAAATAGACTTCCACAGTCCCAAACAAGGAGGGCAAAGGGGAGACGGGGGTGGGCTATGCAAGGAATCGCTGAGGGACAGGCCTGGGTCAACTTTGGCCTTTGCTCTAGGTGATTTGGGCTTCAACTTCAAGTAGAACCCCAAATAGACCACCAAATAGAGCGCCAAACAGAGTCCCAAATACACCCCTAAACATACCACCAAATAGACTTCCACAGTCCCAAACAAGGAGGGCAAAGGGGGGACGGGGGTGGCCTATGCAAAGAATCGATGAGGGACAGTCCTGGGTCAACTTTGGCCTTTGCTCTAGGTGATTTGGACTTCAACTCCAAATAGGACACCAAATAGACCCCCAAATAGAGCACCAAGCAGAGTCCCAAATAAACCACTAAATAGACCACCAAATAGACTTCCACGGTCCCAAACAAACCACCAAATGGACTCCTAAATAGGCCACCGTATAGAGCCCCAAATAGACCCTCCCTAATAGACCACCAAATAAAGCACCAAATAGAACCCCAAGTAGACCACCAAATAGAGCCCCAAGTGGATCACCAAATAGAGCGCCAAATAGAGTCCCAAATAAACCACTAAATAGACCACCAAATAGACTTCCATAGTCCCAAATAGACCACCAAAGGGACTCCTAAATAGACCACCGTATAGAGCCCCAAATAGACCCCCCTAATAGATCCTCAAATAGACCACCAAATAAAGCACCAAATAGACCACCAAATAGAGCCCTAAGTAGACCCCCCAATAGAGCGCCAAATAGAGTCCCAAATAAACCACTAAATAGACCACCAAATAGACTTCCATAGTCCCAAATAGACCACCAGATAGACCCCCCAATGGAGCGCCAAATAGAGTCCCAAATAAACCACTAAATAGACCACCAAATAGACTTTCACAGTCCCAAATAGACCACCAAATGGACTCCTAAATAGTCCACCGTATAGAGCCACAAATAGACCCCCCTAATAGATCCTCAAATAGACCACCAAATAAAGCAGCAAATAGGACCCCAAATAGACCACCAAATACAGCCCCAAATAGACCCCCAGATAGACCCCCCAATAGGGTGCCAAATAGAGTCCCAAATAAACCACTAAATAGACTACCAAATAGACTTTCACAGTCCCAAATAGACCACCAAATGGACTCCTAAATAGACCACCGTATAGACCACCAAATAGAGCCCCAAACAGACCCCCAAATAGGACCCCAAATAGACCACCAAATACACCACCAAATATATCCCCAAATAGACCCTCAAATAGACCACCAAACAGACCACCAAATAGGACCCCAAATAGACTCCTAAGTATACCCCCAAATAGACCACCAAATAGAACCCCAAAAATTCCACCAAATAGACCCCCAAATAGACCCTCAAATAGACCACCAACCAGACCTGCAAATAGTCTGCCAAATAGACCCTCAAACAGACTACCAAATAGAGCCCCAAATAGAACCCCAAAAATTCTACCAAATAGACCCCCGAATAGACCATCAAATGGAGCCCCAAATAGATGACCAAATAGACCCCCATCAATGGCAGTAGCGGTTGTCCAGGAAGTGCAGATTGAACTGGAACACCCCCACCCTCTTTCTCGCAAGACCCCCCCCCTTCCTACCTTTGAGCCCCACCCTCCCTCTCCATCCTCACCTCCTCCCCCAGGTAAGGCCCAGGATGCGGAGCTCTCCTTCTCAGAAGCTCAGAAGCTCTTCCTCTTGAGGCCCAGCATGCCAGCCTCTCTTCTTCCCAGCTTTCCAGCTTCATCCTCATGCTAGCTGCCTCCCTCCACAGATAACCAAAGAGATGGTCTCCTGCTTCATCATCTCCCCACATGTCCAGGAGGCTCACCTTTCCATCTTTCCACCTTCTTAGCCTCACCTTTGAGCCACACCCCCTCTCTCTATCCTTCCTCCCCCAGGTAAGGCCCAAAATGCAGAGCTCTCCCTCTTCAGCCCTGAAGCCCTTCTTCTCAAGGCCCAGCATACCAGCCCTGCTCTTTCATGACTTTCCAGCTTCATCCTCATGTTCTCCTCCCTCCATAGATAAGGAAAGGCCTGCTCTTCCCCTTCATCCCCTCCCCATCTGCTCAGGAGGCTCACCTTTCCACCTTCTCAGCCTTACCTTTGAGCCCCACCCCCTCTTTCTATCCTTTCTCACCCAGGTAAGGCCCAGGATTGAGCCCTCACTCTATCGCAGCCTCAGAATGTGGTCTCCATCCCTTCCAGACTAACCTTTGATCCCCTTGAGCCCTTCCTCCCACCACAGGCAAGGAAAGGGGCTGCCCTCCCCCTCCATCTGCCCAGGATATTGACCCCAACCTTTGAGCTCTCTCAGCTCTTGCTCTGTTTCCAAACAAAGCCAGGTTGCTGGCCCACACCTTCCCAACCTTCAACCATCTCTCCCCATTCCCCAGGCCTCAGCTGTGACCCCCAGTGGTGCAATGGGTTAAACCCTTGTGCTGCAGGACCAAAGACCAACAGGTCAGAGGTTCGAATCTGGGGAGAATGTGGATGAGCTCCCTCTGTCAGCTCCAGCTCCCCATGCAGGGACATGATAGAAGCCTCCCACAAGGATGGTAAAACATCTAAACATCCGGGCATGTCCTGGCCAACATCCTTGCAGATGGTCAATTCTCTCACACCAGAAGCGACTTGCAGAGGCTCCTTCTCTGGAAGCTTTTAAACAGAGGCTGGATGGTCATCTGTCAGGGGTGATTTGAATGCAATATTCCTGCTTCTTGGCAGGGGGTTGGACTGGATGGCCCATGAGGTCTCTTCCAACTCTTTGATTCTATGATTCTATTATCTGCATTATCAGGCACTTCCTCCAGACCATTCACATTCCCATGTATCTTAACAGAATCTCTGCCCCACACACCACACACAAAGCCCAGATTGCTCGCCCACATGCTCTCTATCTTCAACCCTGGACCCTCACCCCCTCCAGACAACAGCTAGGCTGCTGACCCCCATCTTCACCCTTGATCCCTGCCTCACCTTTGAGCCCCACCCCCTCCCTCTAAGTTGCCAACCCCTTCTTCAGTCCTCGCCTTTGACCTCACTCCCTCTCCAGGTTTCCACTCTTTTGTCTGACCCCCATCCTTCCAGCCTTCAATCCTTCTTTGCCATGCCCCACACAAGAAGCAGATTGCTGACCACCCCCTTGACTCCTTCCGCCTTTTCCATTCCTCGTCCTGCACTTGCTTCCTCCTCCACTTGTGCCCTTCCTCAGACAAAAGCCCAAATAGACCACCAGAGTCTTAAATAGAGCCCCAAATAGACCACTAAATAAAGCACCAAATAGGCCACCAAATAGAGCCCTGAATAGAGACCCAAATAGACCACCAAATAGAGTCCCAAATAGAACCCAAGGACCAAATAGACCCCAAAAAGAGCCTCAGACCCCAAATAGACCACCAAATAGAGCTCCAAATAGACCCCAAAAAGAGCCTCAGACCCCAAATAGACACCCAACTAGAGTCCCAAATAGACCCCAAAAGAGCCTCAGACCCCAAATAGTCCCAAATTGACCCCCAAAAGAGCCTCAGACCCCAAATAGACCCCCAAATAGTCCCAAATAGACGCCCAAAAGAGCCTCAGAACCCAAATAGACCCCCAAATAGAGTCCCAAATAGACCCCAAAAGAGCCTCAGATCCCAAAGAGACCCCCAAATAGACCCCAAAAAGAGCCTCAGACCCCAAATAGACACCCAACTAGAGTCCCAAATAGACCCCAAAAGAGCCTCAGACCACAAATAGTCCCAAATAGTCCCAAATCGACCCCCAAAAGAGCCTCAGACCCCAAATAGACACCCAACTAGAGTCCCAAATAGACCCCCAAAAGAGCCTCAGACCCCAAATAGACCCCCAAATAGTCCCAAATAGACCCTAAAAAGAGCCTCAGACCCCAAATAGAACCCCAAATAGATCCCCAAATAGACCCCAAAAAGAGCCTCAGACCCTAAATAGATCACCAAATAGAACCCCAACTAGACCCCAAAAAGAGCCTCAGACTCCAAATGGAGCCCCAAATAGACCCCAAAAAGAACCTCAGAACCCAAATAGACCCCAAATAGTCCCAAATAGACCTTAAAAAGAACCCCAGACCCCAAATAGACCACCAAATAGAGTCCCAAATCGACCTCAAAAAGATCCTCAGACCCCAAATAGACCCACAAATAGACCCACAAATAGAGTCACAAATACACCACCAAATAGAGCCCTGAATAGACCCCAAAAAGAGCCCCAGACCCCAAATAGACCCACAAATAGAGTCACAAACAGACCACCAAATAGAGCCCCAAATAGACCCCAAAAAAAACCTCAGACCCCAAATAGACCACCAAATAGAGCCCCACATAGACCCCAAAAGAGCCTCAGACCCTAAATAGACCACAAAATAGAGCCCCAAATAGACCACCAAATAGAACCCCAAATAGACCATCAAATAGACCACCAAATACAGCCCCAAGCAGACCACCAAACAGAGTGATTCTTTGCTACGCCCAGGACAAGAAGCAGGTTTCTGACCCCTCACTCCTTCAACTTTTTCCATTCCTCGGTTGTGCGCTTGCTTCCTCTGCTTGTGCCCTTCCTCAGACAAAAGCCATCCTGTATGCCTTACCTGAGAGGGAGGCCCAGATGGAGGGTGATCCAAGGTGGAAACGAAGCTGGGGGGGGGGGGTCCTATCTGGGCAAAGAGGGGCAAAGAAGGAGAAGATGTGGGTCAAGGTGGCTTGGCTCTTGCCTGGAGTGGGGGAGATTGGGAACCAGGAGGAAGAGACCAGTGCTTGAGGTGCAAAGCCACCTATGTCCCTTTCCATTGG